ATCGATTGTGATTTGCGAAGTTCTAGCTTCGCCCGGGCCTTCGGTTATGGCCCGGCGAAGATTAATAAATGCATCGTAAATATGGCTTACATGATGTGATGACCATGGGTTACTTTTAAGTTCGTTTTAAGTCATTATGGTTTAGTCTGAAAAATGAACTAAATATCTCCCCAGTCCTTTATTATTTACGTCATTAGCGCGTCAAAAAATCAGTAAATAATTTAGTAATAATTATTACTATAGATGCAAGCTAATTATTCTTGGTCATGGCGAAGTCGTGATAGATAAGTTTTCGTTAAACTGAAGTTGCAGCATGATAGAAAATCGGTTCCATAGGGTAAACTATTGCAAACTAAATATTTTACTATCTGCTATATAGATTTGTCTAGATGTTGCCCTGTTTATTATTACCATAATCGGAAATATCCTTTAATTATTACCGAGAGTATGTATATGTTTATCTTAAGTTACGTGCACGTTGAACTCGTGTGCAGTGTGGGAGTGCCAATTACATGGCTTGTGCTATACGTATGGCAGAATATATATGAGCAAAAGGTGAATTTGATGTCTCCGGTTAAAATACAACTTCCAGTTTACAACGTTCACTATTTGCAGTGAAGTTATATGTAGAGTTAACACTGTCGTCAATTTGAAGCGACGAAGTCATAAAAAATGTATTTCAGGATAAACTCTTACAGATTGATTTACTTCTCTATCTTTTTATCAGATCAAAGACATAGATATAGCATAATGTTTCACTGAAAAAATTCCTTGTCAAGATAGCAATTAGCTTTTTTAGGAATAACTTGAAGAGCAGGAGAGAAGTCTTTAAGGCCTCGCCCGAAAAAAAAAAGTTTAAGGTTCCACTTACTATTACAATAAGGTTCAATAGTAGTCTTATATTCTTTCTTTTTTTTTTTTTTACATGTTTGAATATGAATATTGTTTCAAACTAATGATAAATATTGTTCGGTGGAAATGTTCGGTTTCGTGATAATTTATTTTAGATTTGAAAACCCTGAACATAACATCGGTCGGGGATACTGAATAAAGTTTGACGGAAAGCTATAAACACGTAAATTATTATCCTACAATCCACAATCCTACAGCAAGCTAGCCATTATTCCGTGAGTTCTCTCCCTTTAGGGTTTTTTTTCGTTTCTAATAAACAGACCTCTCTATCTCTGTTCGATAGCCATGTATACACTCGTAAATATGCATGCACGCACGTTTGTATTTGTTGCCTGCCTCGCTTGTTCAGTGTATGAAAACATTATTGTTCTTGTTTGCATTCTGTTATTCATATGTTTATTTAGTCACTTACTTTTTTTTTTTTTTTAGATATGTACTCTGCGTTACTTCAGATTGTATGTGTATATATGCAGTCTTTAATACCAGTATTCTTTGCAACGCCATTATGAAATTCTAGTGTGAGAAGGCACCCATACAAAATGTATTTGCGTTCAACACGTTGCTTCAGCTTCACAAATGTTTCCGTGAGCCAGGGTTTGCTCACTGGCTCAGGGACCCGTGTACCGAGAGTACCTGCCCTAGTGAGTGATGAGCAGCCAACTATTCCTGGAACCTGTAGGGTCGAGACTACGCGTCATTTAACGTTTGTCATCCTAGTATATTTAAATAGGATTTGCCTGTTTCAAGATATACGTAAAGAAGAAGAGTCACACCACCTCCAATATACCCCTTGTTATTAGTAGCATGATTGATGGCATGGTGGTTTGTGGCAGTGTCTAGTTTGTCTTTTGGCTGCTGAATGCATTCATGTGCCTTTTTTAAGAATCTTTTCAAACTGAGGCAACGCGTTCTCTAGAGCAATTTATGGAGCAGAGGAAACCAGAGCGTTTGCAACAAAATAGTATTTTTCAAATAATAAGTGCTTACGTCTATCAGGGGCGTCATTTGGGGGGGGGGGGGACTGCTCCCAAGACTCTGATTGCCCCCCTCAAGGTCTGGCTAGCCCCCTCCACCACCCTCAAGATTTTTTTCCCAAAATTTCACCTTTATTGCTCTGGTCGTAGCATAAGAATGGTCCTATAATAGATAATTTTCTTTTTTTTTCCAAGATAGGACGCACTTTGCTTGTCAACCTTGCCCCCCCCCCCCCTCCTTCCAAGAAAAGCCGAAATGACGCCCCTGGTCTTTATCTTTGGAAAAGAAAGGAGTTGGTGTCAGGAAGGGAAGTATCAAGGGAAGAGAGGGGGTATTCAACACAGGGCCGTCCAGTGTTGCCATCGAAAAAAAAACTATCACGCTAAGACTCACCCCAAAAAATCGCTAGATCAGCTCTTTGAATGAGTTTTAATCAGATGCACCTCTATGGCTGCCGACTTCAGTCATGGTAACTTCATTCCCTTTCACCAATGTCAGGTTCTTCTTTCAGTGATGTCAATATCACATGGGGAACTTTCAAACAGTTCTAGCAAGGGTTATTGGCTCTTTTATGTAACTGAGTGCATTGTAGGTAGAAAGCAGTGGAATTTCT